AATGGGAGGAAACGATTAAAAAAGATCCCCCCCCCCCGGACCCCCCAAAATGATTGGGTGGGGCGGACTAATAGAATTCAGCCGCCGGAAACCGTTTTTTTTAATCGTCCGCCCCCCGGCGTTTGTTTTTGCCCTTTTGGGGGAACTGATTTTCTTTTCGTCCTCCTTCGCTCGCTTGATCACCCGCGGCCGCGGGGGGAGGATTGCGGTGGGGGGACGGGGTAATTAGGGAATGGGTTTTCGAAGAGGCGCTTGATCACCCTCGTCCTTGCGGACGGCCGCCGGTCGTCCTTGCGGACGGCCGCGGCGATTGGGAGGTGGGGGATGATGAGGAGGAGGAGGAGGAGGAGGAGGAGGAGGAGGAGGAGGAGGAGGAGGAGGAAGGGGAGGAGGGGGGAGGACAAGCTAGGTGCGCTCGCGTCATATATAACAGCCTGCCCCCCGCCCCATCTCCTACCATGGCGTAGATCCCCTTTCTACTCGCACAGTTGAATGTCGAGCACGGCAATGATCCTGAAAGGGTACGCGATGCATTCTAGAGCGCGGCGTGGCAGGGCGTTGAAGAGCACCGCAAAGCGTAGTATGTCACAGCATGGCGTGTCGTGGCGTAGTGCAGCATAGCATCACCCATTTTGTAACGCAAAGCATGGCATCCCACAGCGGCCCCGAACATAACATTGCATAGCATGGCGTTGGAGATCAAAGCGTAGCATAGCAGAGCACGACGTGGCACGTTCGTCGCTACAGACGGTCCGCCTGCTGCTTTGCCTTTCTCCGCCAAAATTCTCTTCCGCGCGCGCCGTTGCGCAATTCGGAGGAGGAGGACGAGGAGGAGGAGGAAGAGGAGGAGGAGGAGGACGACGAGGAGGAGGCGGAGGAAGAGGAGGAGGACGAGCTCGCCGTGAAAAATCACCCCGTCCGTCCACCCCCTTGCCCCCGCGCCCTGGATCGCCACCCCGTGCCCCCCCCCCCCCCCCCTCTGGCCTTCCAGGCAACCCGGAATTGTCAGCCCCCCGTCTGCCTGCCCTGCCCCCCCCGCTATTGCGGGGGCGAGGAGGCCCGCGAAACCATTTTTTAATCGTCCGCCCCAGAAAGAGTTTTTTAGATAAAAGAATCGCTTCCCCCCATTAAGAGGAGGGACTTGCTAACAGCCTTTTCGGGGCCTTTGGGGGGACTTCGCCTCCGCGGTCGGATTCGCTTCGAAGCCCTGGCCAGAGCGCACGCGGCATAGGTTAGGGGTCCTAGCGGATTCATATGGTTAGGTTAGGTTTGCCGCCGATTTTCGCCGCACGCCCTGGTCCTCGGGGGTGCCCGGGTGCCCGGGGGTGCTAGGGTGCCCTTGGGGAGCCCGGAGGTGCCCGTGCCAGGAGGTTCCCTGGGGTGCCCGGGTGGTCCATCGCCCTATACCCCTATAGTTCTATAGCCCCAGAACCCTCCATCCCTATATTCCTATATACCTGTAGCCCTATAGCCCTAATAGCCCTATAACCCTATAACCCTGCAGTCCTTATGCCCTATAGCCCAATCGCCTTATAGCCCTATAGCCTTTTATGGGCTTATATCCCTATAGCCCTATTGCCCTGTAGTTCTATAGCCCTATGTTCCTATAGCCTTATAGCCCTATAGTCCTATAGAATTAACCCTATGCTCCTATAGCCGTATAGCCCCATAGCCCTACAGCCCTAAACATATTATGATTGGGGTTTCCCTCTGGAATCATTTTCCCTGCCCCCATCAGCGATTTTAGAGTCATGCGGCTTGGTACTACCAGCATTCCGTGGGATCGATGTCCACCGGTGCGGTGCTGGCGACAGGCTCCATTTGCTGGGCATATGGCAATCCGAGGGAGGATTTCAACTTCGCCCGCGCTTCAGGGCCATACTGAGTCATGCCAAGCACCCCGTCCCCCCTGCGCTGCCCATCTCCTCGCCATGTTGGTATAGATCCTGTAGACGTGGACCCAAACGTAGTGTTAAGTCGGGCGTATTCCTCCACAGGAGGAATATTCAAAAATAGTCAAAAAGTAGTCTGGGGACGATTTTTTTTACTACCCTTGACACTTGTTGAACATTTTCTGGCTATCGTTTATTGTTCGTCCAGAGTCCTTCTGTAGGTGGACGTGCCCGACCTGAACGTAGTGACCAGTGTCACCCTTTGAGAGGAGGATGGGGGGTCGGGCGGGGCTGGCAACGGGGATGATTTCGTCCAAAGCGGTCCGGAGCGCTCTCGGAAGGCTCCGGGGCGCTCCGAGGAGGCCGTGGCGCCCGAGACATCCTCCAGAGCCGCCGGATCTCCCTCGGCTCCCGCCGAGAGTCAGGGGAGCTCTTCACCCCTAGGTCGCGTTTAAGGGGCCTTAACGGCTGCGTCTTCATCGTGGGTAGAGAAGAAAAGCAGAAAAGGATCTCGGAGATTCGTGACGCATTGTCACCCGAGTGTATCCTCGTCCTGGCTTCGTCTTAAGGGGGGTCACACCTGCCTGCCTCCTTCCCGACGGTTTCCCTGCCGCCGCAGCAGAGCACTCTCGGCCAGCGGCCCCTCCAAGTCCCCTCGGGCGTGTCTAGGTAAGTCCTCCTCCTCCTCCTCCTCCTCCTCCTCCTCCTCCTCCTCCTCCTCCTCCCTTCTCTTCTATCTATGACAGCGGTGGTTCAGAATCGGCCTGTAAATTCTCCGTCCGAAGAGGCTGACGTGGCAGCGTCACCCTCTGGTGGCCATCCAACACAGTGGTTCTCTTCGTCGTGCTCCTGTGGCGCTTGCGAATTCATCCTGGAACGCTCTTTGCGATGTTCCGTGTCCTCGGTAGTGTATGCGCGTTAGCGGGTACGGATTCCGACATGGCGGTTGGCCGTTGTGCGCAGCATATTCTCAGAGGGTCTTTTAGTTCTCTTCCGATCAGGGGCGCTTCTTAGGCCTGAATCCGCGACGGCTCAGCGTCAGGTGCAGGAGGGTTACGACTTGATGACTCCGCATTGTGTACTGCATCCTCCGGGTGCTTTGCAGAGCCGAATTCATCGCATGATCGCCCCAGGTTTGAGTCGGGCGTGCCCTTCTACAGGAGGAAGACTCAAACATAGTCAAACAAAAGTCGGGGAGCGATGCTTTGATTACTTCTAGGCTAAGTTTGATAATTCTTTGAATATTTGGTTGTTTCGCCCAAGTTGGGTGGAACATGTTTTTCAATTATGGTTGGATCATTGTTTGAATATGTTTGACTATGTTTGAGTTTTCGCCCAAAATTCCCCTGTAGGGGGACACGCTCGACCGAGCCTCTCGGGACGCCCCTGCCGTCCGTCTGCATCCCGGTTTTGCCTTCTCGCCTTCTCTCCCCCCCCCCTCCCCCCCACTTTCCTCCCATCCGTCGGCTTCCCTGCCATACGATCGGCGGCGCGAGCGATGGGAGGAGGAGGAGGAGGAGGAGGAGGAGGAGGAGGAGGAGGAGGAGGAGGAGGGGGAAGAGGAGGAGGAGGACGAGGAGAAGGAGGAGAAGGAGGAGGAGGGGGGAAGTGAGAAGGAGAGAGCCTTCTCAGAAGGCGGCGGGACTCCTCAGAAGCCCTTGCGCCTTCGGAGAGGCTTTTTGTGCCCTCGGGAGAAGGCCCCGAAAACGTCTCAGAAGGCCGGGAAGCTTCCGCGCCTTCCGGGAAGGCCCGCCCCTTCTCGCTTCCCCCCTGGGCGCGCCCGCCCAGGGGAAACAGCCATTTTTGGACCCGTCGCTTTCCCCTGCTCCTCCTCCTCCTCCTCCTCCTCCTCCTCCTCCTCCGCCCTCCTCCTCCTCCCTCCTCCCTCCTCCTCCCTCCCCCGCTCGGCGGCATACGAAAGGTCCGAGCTCGAGGCCGAGCAGGAGCTGAGGCGGAAGGCGGACGAGGAGGTCGAGTTCCTGCAGTCGGTGGGCCGGGGCCGGCTCTCACGCAATCGAAGAAGAAACAACGCTCAAGCAGTGGCGAAGCGTCCAGGTCCGCCTATAGCCCCACCAAACAATGTTCTAAGAGCTTTGTGTGGTTCCCACGAAATGCTCTTAGATCATTCCTGGCTGGGACTGTTTGTTTTAACACATCGGGTTTATGTACATTCGGGTTCTAAGAACATTTCGTGGTGTATGACTATAGGAATGCCGGGACGGTCGGTCCTTGCTCAAAACGCCACAACATAATTTTTTGGCGTTCCGCGCGGAGGTCTTGGATCCGCGCATCGCCACCCCCCGGCGGCGCCTCCAGCGTCGCCCTGGGCGCGCTCCGCGCGCCGGGGAGGGGGGGCCATCGCGGATCCGGATCCGAGAAGTACGCGCGGAGCCCCAAAAGTTTCTGGTATGTTTTTTTCCTACGCAAGCGAGCGGTCGGGCGGACGGACCCAGGCGGGCGGGACAGAAAAGCGGGCAGGCAGGTGTTCAGCCACGCGCAGGGGGGGGGTAGGGGAGGGGTAGAAGGCTTCTCACAAGCACCCCTGCTTCTCAGAAGGCGCGGGCCTTGTCCGCAGATGTGGGGCGGGCGCCTTCTGAGAAGCGGCATCCTTCTGAGAAGACTTCGCCCCTCCCCCCCAACCCCCCCTGCTGCGTGCCGCCAAGGTCTGTATGTGAGCAGGCGGTGGCGGCTTTGGGGGGGTCAGATCCCGCCGGCGGATGCCAGCGGCGGGCGGGCCCTGACGGGCGGGTCGGGAGGGCGGCGAACCAGTGTTGGCGGCGAGGAGAAGGAGGAGGAGGAGGAGGAGGTGGTGGAGGAGGAGGAGGAGGAGGGAAGAGGAGGAGGAGGAGGAGGACGAGGAGTGCGCCCACCCAGCCCGCCCGATCTGCGATCTGGGCCCGCCCGCCAAGCCCCCTTGTCAGTTTCAGCCCGGCCCGACCCGTCCGTCAGGGTGCGGCCACTCGACTGTCGGGGGCGGCCGAGGGGGCGTTGATGACTAGGTGGGGGTGGATATCATGGCGGGGGCCATGATATCTCCCCAGATTTCATGCCCCCTCTTCTCATTTCATTACGTTCCCGCCCCCCCCTTCTGAATCCCAAAGAGCCTCCAGAGGTCTCTGAAGTTCTCGAACTTGCTCACCTCGCTCTCCAGGGATGTCCAAGACTGATGTTCAAGATTTACTCGTAAATCAGAATCCTGCTTCACACGATGAGCACCTTTTGCTCTCCTGAGACGATCGCGGCCCCAGTGCGCGATCTGTGCAGCTGCAATCAGCTGCCTAGGTAAAACAAGCCCGCCCACCCACACCTTGAGCCAGTGGGCGGCGGTCACAGAACACGGCAAACCATGAACACACAGAGAAGCATCTAAAATCTAAACAGCACACGTGCCTGCTACTCTGTGTTCCTTTCAGACAGGTGGAAAAGAAACTGCCGTGTTCACGGGGTCATCACGACCCTGCCGAGAGCTGCTCGGCTCCACATTGCCGTCCTCTGTCTGGATCTCCCTCGGGAGCTCCTGCTGTTGCCTGGACTTCCGGCGCTCCTCGAAGACTTGCTTGGCGGCTGCAGCGTCCTCGGGCTTCGTGGTATCGAAGATGCCCTTGCCCAGGGCGGCCCGTTTTCGTGCACTCATGAAATTCTCGTCGTAAATGAGCCTCCACTCCTGCTTCTCCAGGAACAGCTTGAGGACTTCGAAGGCTTGCCAGTTGCCCTTCGTGAGCTTGTCCGCGATCTGCGCGTGGGAGTGCACCCACCTGACCACGGTCTTCCCTTCATCGAGGGCATTCCGAAGAGCCAGGGCCTCGATCGCTGTACGTCGCTCCTCGAGCCCGAGTCCAGCCGACTGCGACCGTACCACTCCGTCGTAGAACGCCTTGCAGTCCGTGACCAGCACCGCTGGCAAATGATGGAGCAACGTCATCTTCTCCTGGATGGGAGACTTGTCCAGCAGTATCTCGGCCAGCACCATCCGCACCATGCATTGTTCGCCTTCAGCGTCTCCAGCTTCCTGAACTTCTGCGGCCAGGCTTGAGCGAGCCACGCGTCGGAGTTTCTTAGAGCCCCAGTCGAGCACGGTGAACTGCGACTTCTCGCCGTCCATGGCCTTCGTGGCCGCGATGGCGGTGAGGTAGCCACCTTGTGAATGGCCATCTGGCCGGCTAGCCCAGGCTGCGTCGCACCACGTGAAGACGGCCAGGTCGTCCAAGTCATGGCGGTGGATCTGAAGTCCCATGTGTTGGTTCTGCTTGATCAGCTTGACGATGTTGTTGGCGGCCGTGAACAGACTGTGGGTGCCCTCAGGAATCTTCGACTGGAGCTCTGCGACCCACGCCAGCAGGAAGGGCATGGTGTTGACGCCCAGCCAGTAGACCTCCCCGCAGAACGCACGCAGCACGGTCTGGTCCTTGTCGCGCAGGTTGTCCGTCGGTCGGTGCCGTCCTCCGTCAGGTGGCCGTACTTCGGTGATCTTGTCGGCGTAGGCGCGCTGGTGCAGGAAGAAACCCTTCTCGTTCTCCTCGATGGTGACCCCGCACTGCTCCAGGCTGGTGATACCGTCATTCATGTCCTCCCAGGTGCCCCACTTGTAGAGCTTCCGGATCTGAGACACGATGTTGGTCCACTTGGGGTGAGCGGTGTCACTTGCCAGAATGAAGTCATCCACGTGTGCCATGACCATACCGATGAGGCGTCTGGTCTGTGGGCACCGCACCTGCCACATGCACGGCTCCAGCTCGCGGGGCTGCAGTCCGAGCTTCTTGAAATCGACCTTCACCGTTTCCCACCAGTGACGCGGGGCCCCCCCGATGCCGTACCCGGGCTTGACGACGCGTAGTAGCTCACCCTCCTTCACCTTGAAGGCCTTCTTCAGCGCGGCGTCGGGTTCGATGAACAAGTCCTTGTCCAGCTCGTTAGCCTGCAGGAGCGCCGAGGTGACGTCACCCTTGATCAACTTCCAGTCGTGCGCAGCCGCGATCGTGAGCATCACGTTGCGAGCCCGTCTAGATGCAGTTGGGCTAGCCGTAGGCTCCTTCCCGAGGTCCTTCGTTTGGTAGCCGAGGAGCGCGAGTCGCGTTTTGGCCCTGCCGTCCGCCTTCCTCGTGAAGAGCCACCGCGCCCGGATGATGTCGGCACTGTCCTTGACCTCAGACGCAGGTACTGGTCGGAGTCCACGATGCTGAAGCCAGTTGTCCGTCTCCTTAGAGATGGCCACTTCGAACTCTGCCCTCTCGGATGTGTTCAACTTGGACCATGAGAGCTCGAGCTTGTCCTTCCGGCGCTGGTTGGCGACGAAGCTGTTGAGAACTGCCTGCATCATCCGATTGTCGACGCTCCTGTCGGCCCCCTCGCTCTTGATGTGCTCGAAATATGTTGTCTGGTGCTCGTCTATCCCCAGGAGAATGTCCAGGTCGTCCTTCTGGAGGTCCGCCCAGAGCTCGCTCTCGTCCATGTCGTTGTTGTCCTTCCGACGCTTCTCCGGCGGTTGATAGAGGTCCAGCTCCGGTCCACGATGCGTCATGCGGTACCGAGGGCGCGCCGACGATGATGAAGCAGACGGCTCCCCTGGTGCTGCTGGTGTTGCTCCCTTAGAGGCTGGTGCTTCAGCTGGAGGTAGGTCCACTGGCGGAGGCTGCTGAGGTATCTCTGCTCCTGCGGGTGGTGCCATCTCCTGGTCCTGAGCGTCTTCGGAGGGTTCGCCTGGTTCTGCTTCTGGTTGAGCCATAGACCTCGGTGTAGTGTGGCTCGACTCCGGTATGTTCGTCTCCTCCTCCGTGACAGCGGCAGGTGGCGCTTCTGCCTCGTCTCCTGGTTGGAATGCTTCGGTGGTCCTCGGGGGCTCGTATGCTGTGAGGTCCGGGCGGCGCTGCTCCACCAGGTCCTCGAACGTCCCAGCCTTGGCGGTCTCCAGGATCTCTGTCATGGTCTTCCCGAGGGAGGCCTGCTTCTTGAGTTCGGTCAGCATCTTCTCCGTCTCGGAGGCTGGTCGTAGATGCTCGGGCGCGCACCTGATCAACGTGTTCCCGTGGGCGATCCAGACGACCGAGGTCACCCGAGCGCGGCCGTCGATATGCCGTTTTTCCTGAACAAGCACCCGTGCAGGTCCGTACCACCTTCCTTTCTTGCCAGGTCGGTTCTCCCGTCCTTTGCCGTCACGCCAGAAGTACACGAGGTCGCCGGCCTCCCAGGTCTGGTAGATCCGGTTCCTGGCTTGCTCGGCATGGCGTCGCCGTTCTGCATACTCGCACTCGAGGTAGCTCTGGCGGGCCAGAAGTCGCCTCTGCTCCTGCGTCTCGCCGGTGTCCCCGTCGATGATGGCGAAGGGGTTACTCGTGGGGGCCATCCCTGTGACGCCCAGCACGTGCTCGAATGGGGAGTGATTTCCCACCTTGTCCATGGGAGTTGATCGCACTCACGGCCCAGGTGACCAGCTCCTGCGTGCTGCACTCGGGGTCGTGGGTGGCCATCTTCGTCATGAGGCGCTTGAAGAGCTGTATGCGACGTTCCACCTTGCCCATGAGCCAGTGCGCCTCCCCAGGTGCGATCCATATCTCGACCCCATGGTCGGATGCCCACTTCGCGACTATCTGAGAGCAGTGGCACCCTTCTGGGTCCATGCGAAGGAGGGCAGGTTGACGGTAGTGGCTGCACCACGATTCCCACGTAGAGATCACCTCGATGGCTGACCGGTTGCCGCTGCGCTCGCCCTTCTGCCCGTGGTAGGTGACGCTGGTGAGGCCGGACCCCTCGTCGAGGTTCAGGGTCATGATGTGGGAGGTCTGCTGAGGTGAGAGCAACTCCAGTCCGTCCGTGGCGAGGACTTCGAGCACGCCCGGAATCTCCACGCCTGAGGCTACTCGCGCAGCTTTGGGGAGCTTCCCAATATGGCAACCATGGCATTGAAATTGAAGTGCCAGTTGGAGTACAGGGACCGCTGCACCAGAGGCCTTGAATATTGTAGAGTGTCTTGTTGCTGGGATGTCCCAGATTGCGATGAAGTCGCGCGAGTCTCTGCTCGATCTCTGAGACCTCCTTCTTCGACAGCTCCGTCTTGACGCCCAGGCCTTTGAGGGAAGCCTCGGCGGTCTCCATCTCGATGTCCTCCTCCGTGTTCAGCTCCCCTAGCTCGCCCGACGTCTCGACGTCGTCCTCTTCTGGAATCTGTTCCAGGCCCGCGTAGATCTCCTTGCCGTACTGGGAGGTCATGTTCTTCTTAAGGATGTGCTTGGCCCAGGCTCGGCACATGGCCGGAGGATAGTAGGCTGTCTGAGCCACCAGATGTCCGTCCTCGATGGCACGATGTAGGTGATTATCTCCTCGTCCCGTTCGGTTGCTGCAGAGCCGGCCCACCTTCGCTCCAAAGTCGGGGTCGGTAGAGCATACTCGCCATGCCTTCTTCACCAAGAGTCCTGACCTCTCGTCACGAAGTCCGTAGGCACACCCATGGATGATCGTCTCGTACATCTCTGACCGCATCTTCTTAATGGAGGGTGACCTCGACCAGCTGTGGCTGTTCCAGGGCTGCTCTAACTCAATGTGGCAGTCCACGATCTTCTTCGCCTCCTCGTTCAGGGCCAGGCACCCCCGTTGGATCCTGCGCGCCTGTCGGATCTTGTCCGAGAGCTGCTTCCTCTGGGCCTCCGTCTTCTGGTTCAGGTTCTGGAAGGGACAGTCTGCGGTGCACGGGGGGCTGAACACCAAACGTCGAGGTCGTGCCATTCGAAGTAGATGTATGGCCCTGCGGACGCCTGTGGCCGTGCCCATGTCATAGCCGTTGAAGAGCCCACACCGTATCACCTGGCCATGCTGCGCCTCCACCGCCTTGCCGAGCGACGACTCGTTCGGGCCGCACACCTCCATGAGATCCGCGCGCTTGGTCTTGGTCAGGTTGACGGTGTCCTCGCCGATCTCGAAGTAGATCTGGTCCATCACCTTGGTCTGCGCCTGGTAGAATGTGATGAGGACCGCGTCATTCAATGGCTTCAGCGGCCCCGCTTCTTCACGGTCTCCGTCACGTCCGAATCGTCCAGCATGCTGTCGTCCGGCACTGGCAGAAACACCCAGGGCCCCGCGGGGTCGCACTTTGCCAGCTTCGACGCCAGGCGCCTCCACCGCATCGCCACGGCCTGACTCCGGATGTCCCCCAGCGCTTCGCCGAGGGTTTCCTTCTCCGAGGTCGATTCGTCCGGATGCAGGCGTAGGCATCGATGACTCTTGCCTCCGCGGCAGCTGCATCCCGTGATCGCGCGGTTGGGTGCCTTGCAGCATGAGCACCTCGATCGAACTGTTGAGCTCGGTGGTGTCGGAGGCGGTGGCGGTGGTTGTAGCGGTGGTCCTGCTGGTGGAGTCGCTGGCACCGGGTAGCCCATCCCCATGTACACTTCGTGGGGCGTCGCAAGTAGGGCAGCAGGAGGCCATGCAGGATGAGGTCCGTACCGTGCCTGGAGTCGAAGGCAGTAGTGGGACATGCCGCCGTTGCAGCTGCACCCTCTCCGAGTCCGTCCCACCGCTCCGCAGCACTGGCATCGTCCTGGTGGCTGGTACTGCACTGGTGATCCCGTAGGACTGTTGATCGGCATCTGCAGCGGTGGTGTTGCTGACGCTGAGCCCGCTGTCGACGGAGCTGACGTCGGCGTGGCAGGCGAGGATTCTGCTCGAGTCCTCGGACGCGCCCACTCTGGTCGTGCTGACGGCGGCTGCTGTCGCGAAGAAGAGTCTCCACATGACATCAGACGCGTTCTGATATGTAGGATATGGAAAAGCTGAACTGCTGGGAATCTCGGAAGTTCCTGCACAACATTTTTGGGCCACACGAGGCTGAGGAATATCATTTGGCTTCTTGGGGTTCTGTTCAGGGTCCTCCTCTGGCAGGTGCACCTCGTTTCTCCTGGAGGGTCCCCCGAAGCTTACCCTAGTTGGCCTCTGGGTTCCCCTAGGACTTTCCCTCGTACTAGAACCTCTTGTTGCCTCCGAAGTCCCTGAGAATGTCCAAGTGCTCCCCCACCTTGTCCCACTCGAGCCCCTGGTCGTCATCGGTCTCGGGCTGCTCGAACTTTGAGACGTCGTGGGTCTTCTCTCGGTCGCACATCGCGTCGCTCTCGGTCGGCTCGAGGGGGGCTGGCTCGAGGTCTCCCCTGGAGATGTGGACCCTCTTGAGGTCCTCGAGGCTCCTGGGACGTGGCTGCCCCCTGGACCGGGAAACGAACCTGGGCTCCTTGGGCACCTTTCTGTGGGCCCCCCCGATGATGAGGATGACGATGGAGATGATATCTCGCTCGCCGACATCACCAGGGGGTGCTGTCCCTAGCGCACGGCGAGGCAGCCAGCGCAGCCCGTCACGGGCTCCTCCGGCTTCTCGTCCAGCACGATGGAGTCCCGCCTTGCCATGTTGACGTGGCAGTTCTCCAGGGACCAGGGTAGAGAGACCTCGCGCCACCACTGCGGCGTCGAAAGGTTGATCGCCAGGTGCTTGCTCGAGAGCCTCTCGCAGTAGTAGACCTTGTTGCCCAGTGTCGGCAACCCAATCCAGTTGCGGCCACAGTCGACCACTACCTTCAAGTCGTCCGTCAGGATGTCCATGCCCAGGAGAATGGGGACGCGGTTCGCCATCACTGAGAGGCTAATGTCTCGGAGCTCCGGTCCCAAGTATGCACGTCCAGAGACCGTCCCCATCGAGCTCTTCTGGAGCCCGTCGCCGAAAGTGAAGGAGCAGGTGTCGCCGTGCGCCTCGAACTCCACGTCGTGGTTCACCAGCATCTCGTACATGAGGTTCTCTACGCTCTCGACGCCACCGAGGCTGCGCGTGGCTCCAATGTCCAGCACGGCCCAGATCCCCTCGCGCTCGAGCAGGTAGACGTACTCGTCCAGGGCCGAGAGGATGAAGCCGTTGTGCGTGTTCGTCGCGCCTCCAGTGGCGCCGCTCCCGACCTTGCCACGGTCGGGACAGTCACGAGCTCGATGTCCGAACTGCTTGCACACGATGCACTTCATCTTGGACAGATCTCGCGCACCTTCAAAGCGAACTCGTCGATCTTGTTGTCCACGTCCACGTCCTTTAGCATGTCCTCGGGGCCGCCCCTCAGCGTGAGGCCTCGGCGGTGGAGCTTGTCGTCCATCTTCTCGCGGAACCACCACCAGGTAGTAGTCCCTTGCTACTCGTACTTGTCGAAGGAGATCCCTGGCATCCCTGAAGCTCCGACCCGCTTGGCGAAACTGCGCGAACACCTCGTTGTCCGCCTCCAAGTCGTCGGGCTCCACCTCCTCCTCCTCCTCGTCCGCGAGGTTGAGGAGCTGCTCGGCCAGCTCGTAGATCTCCTCCGCTTCCCCACCAGTCTCGTCCTCGTCCGCCTCAATGTCGTTCTCGAACAACGCCCGCTCACGCTTGACCTTGCCGTCCAGCTCCGCAAGAGCCTCCGCTGGGAAGCGCGTGAGCAACGTCTTGTAGGTCTTCGCATAGTTGAAGTCCCCTCCCGCGGTCGCCGTTACCTCACCTCTGAGCGCGGGGGTGAGCCTTGACTTCCGCAGGAACCACCATGTGCGAAGAGGTTTCGCTATCACTTCTTTCACGTCTGGGTCGATGGCCTGCAGTTGGGTCAACAGCTCCCTCTCCTTCTTCTCGAACCGGGCCGCCCAGTCTTGAGAGGTCTCCCCCGAGTTGCGGCCTATCTCCAGGAACTCGGCCAACAGACCCGTGTCGTTGAGGCTGGTGTAGTCCAACTTCTCCAGCGCATAGTTGAACACCGTCTCCCAGCCGACTAACTTTCCGTATTCGTCCACCTCGTCTACGTCGTCGATCGAGGGGCAGCTCTCTACGGCGTTCCGAACCCGCGGTCCAAGTGCCCGGACCAGTTGTGGTCCGCAGACGTAGCGGTCGTTCACTCTGATGCTCTTCACAAACATCGACACCTCGAAACGGTAGTTCGACAGCTTCTCTGCCTCACCGTTCCAGGATGGTACCTCAACTCGTGATGGTGCCGATGTCCCTGCTGGCGTCGTCATGGTGACGAGACAGATGGGAGCCCGTGGTGCGGATACCACGAGCTCCGCTACCAATCTGAATCCCAAAGAGCCTCCAGAGGTCTCTGAAGTTCTCGAACTTGCTCACCTCGCTCTCCAGGGATGTCCAAAACTGATGTTCAAGATTTACTCGTAAATCAGAATCCTGCTTCACACGATGAGCACCTTTTGCTCTCCTGAGACGATCGCGGCCCCAGTGCGCGATCTGTGCAGCTGCAATCAGCTGCCTAGGTAAAACAAGCCCGCCCACCCACACCTTGAGCCAGTGGGCGGCGGTCACAGAACACGGCAGACCATGAACACACAGAGAAGCATCTAAAATCTAAACAGCACACGTGCCTGCTACTCTGTGTTCCTTTCAGACCCCCCCGGCCCGTGCACATGTCGCCGGCCATGATTTGCGCACCCCCATCTTGGACGCCCCCCTTTTGGCCGCCCCCGAGACTGCAAAATGGTGTTGACGTCCCGCGCTCGTCGATGTCGGTCGTCGCAGTCGTCGTCGTCGTCGTCGTCGCCGTCGCCGTCGCCGACGCCGCAGTCGCCGCCGCCGCCGCCGCCGTCGTCGTCGTCGTCGTCTTCGTCGACGATGTCGTCGTCGTCGTCGTCGTCGTCGGTGTCGTCGACGCTGCGGTCGTTGTAGTCGTCGTTGATTGTCGCAGCAGTCGTCATCGAGACCAAGTCTCTGTCGGTCGTCGGTCTTTGAGTTTGAGCCTCTTGGGCCGTTTGGGAGTTATTCCTGATGGCCGCTTGGGTCGTCTTGGGACGTCGGAAGCTAGAACAGATAAGAACCCAACAAAAGCGATGAAACATCCAAGGACAGTTCACTGATGTTTGCCTCTCGAGGCTTTTTGTTGGGAAAGTTTCTGTGCCCTCTTGCGACGCCTCGAATGCCTCGCGGGCCGTCTTAAGGCCGTCCTGGACAGCCTTGAGGTCAAAGTGGCTCGTCTTGGAGCGATCTTGGGCCGTTTTGGAGGTGTCTGGGCCTCGCGAGCGCGACCTCGTCGTGTGTTGTTCAAGGTTTGCGGCCTCGGGCAGGGTGGCTGGTGCTGGTGCACGCACGTGGGCACTTCGAGAGGAGTGTGGCCCCCAGAAGCATGACCGAAGTCCTGCCAGGCAGCACCTGGCACTCCAGCACGCCCCAACCGTGCCCGGGAGCACTCTCCTCCTCCTGATTCCCAGGCTGATTTAGCCTTGTGGGAAAGCCTTGTCGGTTTCCCCGATGCCAGCGACTCGGACGACGACAATCCCGCTCGCGAAGCGAGGCTGTGGGTCGAATAGCGTCTCCATCGTTGGCCAATGCATTTTTAAAACCTCTGGCCAGTACGCGTGCGGCTGGTCTTTGTCAGGTCAAAGGTGGCGGAGCTTGCCGCGGGACGAATCTAGTATGAACGTTGTTGTTGCTCCGCCCCGTCGCGTGGCACTCCTGACGAACGTGCAATCGTCTGAGATTCGACCACCCTGCATTGCCCAGTTGGGAGCAAGCCACAATGCATCTATAGTTTTTCATATATATATATACATGTATATGTTTATACGTATGTGTATATATATATATATATATATATATTAGAAGTGTATATATATATATATATATATATATGGCATGGCGTATATATATATATATATATACATATATATATATATATATATATGTATATATCCGACGCCTTTTTTGTTGCCGGTTCCGTCGCCGTTCTTTTTACGGGTTCCCGTTCCGGTTCCGATTTTGGAGCCGTTTTTGTTGCCGTTTCCGGTCGCCGTTTTATCGCCGTTTCTATTTTCAAGGGACATTTTCTCGGAAACGCTGAAAAACACCCTTGCCGTTTCCAGGGCCCTTTAAGCCCTGGACCATGCGAGATCCTTTCCAGAAGGCTCACGAGGCCCCCAACACGTCCCAAGGGGGCTCCCCAAAC